ATTAAAAAAAAAATGTCTTTGTTTCAGATTTCACGAGATTCAGAATTAAAAAAAAATAATTACAATAGGGAAAATGAATATTGATAAAGACCACAAAGGTCTCGTCAGAGAGTAGATTGAATTCTAACACTTTAATACAGAATAGATGATAAATGAGCGAGGAAACGTGAAATGTACAATGAATTATGTATAGATTGTAAACACTGGAGAACAAGAATCGCTTTACACCAGATCTACGTTATAGGTTTATCTTCTCTTTGTGAATAACCACAATGAACCAGATACAATCGTAATTATGAAAGGCTAACTAAGATCATAGAAAATGAAATGAAATGGAGTTTTACATCCTACTTTTCGGCATGTAATTGGTCATATAAAGTTGGATGGAAGAACCAAGCAGAAAAGGCTGTATCAAACCAGGAAAACTGTTATAAATGCATGTTGTCTAACTGACTGTCGATCTCCGTAAGGAACGAAACATTTTTGTATTATTAAAGTATAGCCCCAATCGTCTCTCCTATATATCATATAAGGTCTGATGTTATTGGTAACGGGACATGGTGCACGCGACGAAGAATTTCTTTCCTCATTACTCGCTGCATGTCATGGGGAGTCGAAAGGTAACTACATATATGGTTGTTTTTGGTACATTCGAATATCACAGTATCCCTCTTCGAAGTAGGAGCTTGTTACATTGGCATGCTGAGAATATATAAATGAACGGCTATGTTGAGTTGTTTGTCTCCAAATGTAAAACAAAAGTATGTAAGAAACTAAGTTGGAAATGGTTTTAAAACTTCTATTAGAGGATTTAATGACACTGAAATATTTTATAACGAAATTATAATAGATTTCTTGATCGCATGATTTTCAAATAATAATAAAAAGACTGATTTATATAAGATTTTTATATAAGCATGTTTTTCCAACCAGTGTTGAGCTGTCGAAAGGTTATATATTGTTTTTGTAACACGTTATAAATTAATATAAAAGGTTTTAAAGTACGTAAATGATCCAGAATTAACAGAAAACGCTGGTGGTAAAAGAGTCAACTAAACAGATTATGATATAATATTGGTAGGATGAATAACATTTTCAGGACTTTCCTTTGAATGAGTGAATTATTGATTACTGATGTCGTAAGAACTTGATCGATAATGGAGTTATGATGAAATTTATTCTTTTCTAAGAAATGTCAAAAAATTCATTCTCTTCATTTTCGTTCCAAAATTTGTGTGGGAATGCAAAAAAAGCAAATATAATTTCAAATTTTTTCTGGGGGAATAACTCCAGACCCTCCTAGATAGGACTACGACTTTGCCGATTCCACGGATCTCCCACTTTGGGAATGCCAACCCCGATTGTTCCAGGAGGCTGTCGCCACAATTGACACCAATTTCGTCTGGAGAGGACAAGCGTCATATTTGTAACCTATATTCTATGAAGATGAGTAGCAGGTGTTCTAGAATTCTATATTATCATCAATACAGTAGATTAACATTGTAATGTTCCCATTTGTTACTTTAATGACAACACGAGACCATTATTTCCAATCTAATGAATTGAATCCTTTTTTCAGTCACGCGTAAAGGTGCGAATATACCAAGTCCGATACGGTATACGGGACGGGATTATCGATACAGGAAGATATAAAAGAAGAAAGCATTGCTTCTTGTATTTTCTACAGTACCTTACACCAGACCTCGTCTCTTCACATCTTAAGAATGCTACTTTGCATCAAGTCTAGATTGCATGCGACTATATTCCTTTGTCTTGGGTGCTTCAAATCTTCCACATCCTTTGATATATTGCGATAAGTAGGACTGACCACTGCTGTGTGCACTGGGGGCAACTTGATAGAAAAAAATGTTTGCTTTAAATTCTGATGCCAATGTTCCAGGCACATTCTATTTGTCAGGATTTGATAATTTAATCTCTCATGATAACAACGCTTATGAGAGTTTTTCTTTTTTCTAGTGATCTATAATGTATGACCCTCTATCGTCTCTTTAATCTAACCAATTGTGGAAGAGATCCAATATCGTGTATGTCAGCCTTTAGCCAATGAGTTATAAAAATCGTCTGAACATCTCTGAAGAGTTGACAGTCATTATTAAGTCAAGTGAATTTATTTCTTAGTCAAACGAATAAAGATTATTGTGATTCTAACGATTTTTTAGTCGCTTCGTTGAAAGTAGGCCATGTCAGTATCACACACGACAACCACAGTTCATCCACAGTCTGAGTAATATTTCAGCTGTGAAAGTCAACATTCCTGTGTCTGGTATAGAACGAACCAAGATTTAAATTACAAGACATGGGGATAGTTTTGTATATAATAGCTTAGTTCGACTTGCTATTGACGGTAAATGCACCAAATCCGCCTACTGACTACTACAATCTGCTGGGTTAGATGGTGAGGAGGACGTATTCTCATAAAAGCACTGGCCTTGGTCACAAAGTATAGATTAGTGCTAAAACAACGTGCAAAGTTTAGAAATGTTAGAAAGTTATAAATGCATGGCTAAGATTTAAAGTTATATCGTGTTACAGATATTGGCCGCTTACGCAGAGAAGGGAATTTGATGGCTACTGGCGGTCACTTTGTAGTCGTTGGAAAAAAGGACGGGGTAGAGTTGGCTCTCAGATCAATGTTGCAGGATTTCTTTAGAATCCAGGAGCGACTAGATTTTTAACGAATGATAGGATCTGGCAAATCGCTGGATTTAGTCGACATAGCACATCGATGTATGATAGGTCGTGGTTGTCGCCAGGAGTGCTAACATGCTAACCACATTCCCTAATATTAATTAAAGTCCTTTAATAGTGATATTCATCTGAAAATGTACTCTATGACGGTAAAGTTTCATGTGGGTCGAAATGATGACATAGTAGATATTAAAATACCAGAAAACAACTGACAATCTGTTAGAAATACAAATGTAAATGTTTCGTGTTCTATAATCCTGTAAATATATTAAAAAACAAACAAAATACAGATGGTTCTCATAAACTCAGTCATAAACCAGTTTCCGATTAAATACATCCACAAAACCAAATGACAAAGTCGCTCATTTGCAAGTAAATAACCACTCAGGATCTTACAGAATGACAAGGCCTGGACACTGAATGGTTACAATCTGAAATGCCGGAGATGTGCTCTGGACGAAATATTAGCAGAGGTAATGTAGATTATCCACACCAGTTAATAAGAAATATAACCATTTCTTAATATTGGTGCAGGCCTCGACAGAAGATTTTGAAGGGAGAATGGGCGACAAGCTGTCATAATCATCATCCTGTGTATAAGGTCGGAGTTTATTTGAGCAATGTATCCATTGCGTTGAGATTACCGCTTTGAGGATCTGTTGACATTCCGGAATGCAAAAGGAAAATACCACAAAAAAGTATTTCTGTCTTCATTTGTCCTATTAGATGCAGAACTAGACGTGAAAATTATTACATGGGTATATGTTAACGTCTTCATCACCCCATGCAGCAAAACTACTCTAGCATTACATAACAAAGTATCTTATTGAACATAGACAAGAAACTGCTTCAGTTGAAAACCATTAATGTGAAAATAGGTTAAGTATCAATATTAAAATCAATTGTACATTTTCCTTTCACCTCTTCCCTGTCTAACAATAATACAGTAATTGATCTTCTAATAGTTGGAATACTCCATTGAAATACTCCAATATTGTTGTCTTTTCTTCTGGTTATTATTTTACAGGGGAAATAACACTTATTGTCAATATTACATCAGTATATACTTTATCTGTTTTTATCGGTAATGTTAGTAGTTCCATGCTTACCAATTCAAATTGTGCACAGAAAAAAAGAGGGATATGAATGAATAAATGAATAAATGAATAAATGAATGAATGAAGTGATTGAATAAATGAATTGTCTTTTATTCTACCGAGGAAATAACACTTGTTGTGGATATTACATCAGTATATACTCACTCTGTTTTTATCTGTAATATTAGTAGTTACATGTTAACCAATTCAAATTGCTTACAGATAGGAGAAAATGAATTGAATTGAATTGAATTGAATTGAATTGAATTGAATGAATGAATGAATGAATGAATGAATGAATGAATGAATGAATGAATGAATGAATGAATGAATGAATGTTAAGTTCAAATAACACTCGTGGTAAATATTACATCATAACATTCTTACTCTGTTTTTATCTACAGTTCCTGACTTTCGAATGACCTACCGAGAAAATAAAAAAAATAAATACACAAACCATATTCTACGGGGAAAACAAAACTTGCAACATTGCAAGCATTAACAGAACATACTCTATCTTTAACTGTATCGTTTGTGGTTTAATTCTTACCAAATAAAATTTTGAACCGAGAGAAGTGCTATGGATGAATGAATGACCGCTTATGTCTCACTGGGTTGAATCTTTGTCAAGAGTGTGAATGGGCTGGAAATTTATACGTGATCTTTGAGGAGCAAAATATTCTTCCACAACAGTTTTACTGTGCTCCCGATTCCACAAAGTGTTATAGAATGTAAGCTTTTCTGATGTAGCTGACTAGTAATCCACTAACAGCATACATGGTTGGTCACAATACCAATAATGTTGTTAAGGGATCTTTGCAAAGGAGTTTCTGAATTCTAACACAGTAGTGAGATGAAGAATAGAGATTAGATAGTATGATGAGGAATGTTGGTGTGTCTAGATAGAAGACGGGGAATATAGGTTTATCTAGATAGTAGATGAGGAATATAGGTTTATCTAGATAGTAGATGAGGAATATAGGTTTGTCTAGATAGTAGATGAGGAATGTAAGTTTGTCTAGAGAGTAGATGAGGAATATAGGTTTATCTAGATAGTAGATGAGGAATATAGGTTTGTCTAGAAAGTGGATGAGGAATATAGGTTTATCTAGATAGTAGATGAGGAATATAGGTTTGTCTAGACAGTAGATGGGGAATATAGAATTGTCTAGAAAGTAGATGAGGAATATAGGTTTATCTAGATAGTAGATGAGGAATATAGGTTTGTCTAGATAGTAGATGAGGAATGTAGGTTTGTCTGGATATTAGATGAGGAATATAGGTTTGTCTAAAGAGTTGATGAGGAATATAGGTTTGTCTAGATAGTAGATTGGGAATATAGGTTTGTCTAGATAGTAGATGAGGAATATAGGTTTGTCTGGATATTAGATGAGGAATATAAAATTGCCTAGAAAGTAGATGAGGAATATAGGTTTGTCTAGAGAGTAGATGGGGAATATAGGTTTATCTAGATAGTAGATGGGGAATATAGGTTTGTCTAGAGAGTAGATGGGGAATATAGGTTTATCTAGATAGTAGATGGGGAATATAGGTTTGTCTAGATAGTAGATGGGGAATATAGGTTTGTCTAGATAGTAGATTGGGAATATAGATTTATCTAGACAGTAGATGGGGAATATAGGTTTGTCTAGATAGTAGATGGGGAATATAGGTGTGTCTAGATAGTAGATGAGGAATATAGGTTTATCTAGATAGTAGATAGGGATGTAGGTTTGTCTAGATAGTAGATGAGGAACATAGGTTTGTCTAGATAGTAGATGAGGAATATAGGTTTATCTAGATAATAGTTAGGGATGTACGTTTGTCTAGATAGTAGATGAGGAACATAGGTGTGTCTAGATAGTAGATGGGGAATATAGGTTTGTCTAGATATCAGATGAGGAATATAGGTTTGTCTAGATAGTAGATGGGGAATATAGGTGTATCTAGATAGTAGATGAGGAATATAGATTTATCTAGATAGTAGATAGGGATGTAGGTTTGTCTAGATAGTAGATGAGGAACATAGGTGTGTCTAGATAGTAGATGGGGAATATAGGTTTATCTAGTTGGTAGATGGGGAATATAGGTTTATCTAGAAAGTAGATGAGGAATATAGGTTTATCTAGATAGTAGATGGGGAATATAGGTTTGTCGAGATAGTAGATGAGGAACATAGGTGTGTCTAGATAGTAGATGGGGAATATAGGTTTATCTAGATAGTAGATGGGGAATATAGGTTTGTCTAGAGAGTTGATGAGGAATATAGGTTTGTCTAGATAGTAGATTGGGAATATAGATTTATCTAGACAGTAGATGGGGAATATAGGTTTGTCTAGATAGTAGATGGGGAATATAGATTTGTCTGGAGAGTAGATTGAGAATATAGTTTTGTCTAGATAGTAGATTAGGAATATAGATTTATCTAGATAGTAGATGAGGAATATAGGTTTATCTAGATAGTAGATGAGGAATGTAGGTTTATCTAGATAGTAGATGAGGAATATAGGTTTATCTAGATAGTAGATGAGGAATGTAGGTTTATCTAGATAGTAGATGGGGAATATAGGTTTATCTAGATAGTAGATGGGGAATATAGGTTTATCTAGATAGTAGATGAGGAATATACGTTTATCTAGATAGTAGATGGGGAATATAGGTTTATCTAGATAGTAGATGGGGAATATAGGTTTATCTAGATGGTAAATGAGGAATGTAGGTTTATCTAGATAGTAGATGAGGAATATAGGTTATCTAGATAGTAGATGAGGAATATAGGTTTGTCTAGATAGTATGTGACGAGTAATATAGATTGATATGTGCCAATTTGTCTTCAATTTCCGGAAATATAAAACCATTAGAAAATGAAAGTTCTGCAACCAGTGAAGCCCGACCTGCTCATCCCCCGGGAAAACTTGACTGCCTCTTTCATTAAATTGCCATTTCAATACACAATTCAATAATAGTTGATTTAATTTATAGAGTCAGAATCAAGTACACTACGTTTAATTTATTTTCAACAAACTAGAAATTATTTCTTTATTTATTTTCTATTAAATTGGAATATTTGTTTTTTATTGTTTGATTTATTTTCCAAGGATTTCAAGGGAATTGAAATAACGAAAGTTGAAAGATTATATAAATTGTGTCTTTGAAAGTCAATTTCTAATAAGACGTTACTTTTTGTTGAGTTGTTGTCAAGAGAGATTAATTCTACCATTTGTTTGATACTGCCTAACCGCTAATGTTGTTTTTTTTTTCCAGTTTTCAGTTTATATTTAACCAATTATTACCAATAAAATGAACAATTGTGCATGCAATGCTGTTTAGTAAAGTGACAAGGTGGCCTTTTTAGATAGCTGCAAAATAATCCATAAGCTTGCTTCCATTCAAACACAAATCTAATTGTCCAAAACCCATCTTGTGCTGTGGATGCTGTTGACGCATGTTCTTGATGCTGTTGACGCATGTTCTTGATGCTGTTGACGCATGTTCTTGATGCTGTTGACCAGTGTACCGGATGTTACTGTAGTTTCACCGACAATGTCCAGGTAGTTACTTCAAAACTATATTATGTTTGGTATATATTTCATTTGATGTTGGAGCCTGACTTTATGGAGAACAGTATTTCTGTGCCATCGATTCCAGTAAAAATAACGCTCAAAGGAGATTATTATTGTGTTCATTAAAGTACATTTCTTTTTCAAGTCGAACGGTGGTGGACTCTCATTAAACAGGGCCCTGTGGCTGATATTAATCATACGAACACTAGAAATTTCACGATGTTAAATGTACTTAAATATATCGTGTGAGTGTTATCTTGAGAAACTTGCTATTAAAAACATCGCATGTCGAGAAACTATTTCAATGTCCCTTACAATTACAAAATATTTTCATTGTTAAAATAGTGCTCAATACATTAATTGTACAGCAATATAGAAATATTAAAACAGATCCTGAAAATGTTGTTACTCGGAGTTTCACGCTGTGCGATCTTCAGATAAATGACCTTCGTCAGTCTGTGCCTGTCCCTACGGATGTTTGACAAGTCGTACTTGTTCTCGTGTCTGCACAAGCTGGACATAATTTATGCAGCACTTAATCTGAATGGAATGCAAAGCCGGGTGTTTTGTTTCGTGTATTTTCTGCATCTTTCTACACTTTGCATTTTATTAACTTGACACTGCACTCATTTGAATTCCTTGTACTTCCCGACAAAAAGCTTTCAAGGAGCCCAGCGCTATTCGTTAACAGTTGAAGACAAGGGTTTCAGATAGCCAATGTTGGTCTTCATTAGCTCAATCAGGTGTAAAACTCTATTTCAATTGATTTCATATGATTAACCAAGCTGTACATCAAAATTTGTTTTATCTGGGAGTTGAAGACTTGCAGGAATCATTCGTTTAGATTATGTTTATAAAAACAATTTCATTGACACGAGATGTTTTTCTAATAGAATCTGATGACAGCTGACGCCTGTACAGTTCTGTAGTTAAAGGTTTGTTTGAGCAAAGGTGCTGGTAGTTAACACAAGAGTTAACATAGGATTTTCTGAAATTACATGAATTGCAAATGTAACCGGTACACTTATAGCTTACATCAACACCATTCCATGTTTTGACATTTGTGTTTAAAATATCATTTTGCAAATATTTAGCTTGCAATGTGTTTAAGGTCATAATCTGTTCAAGCTTTTCTAGAAAGCAACTATAGACATCTTAATAATTCAATTGGACACTTTTATATTCCAAACGTTAAGAGCTCTGTATTTTACCTAGTAACCTTGTTTAGTCTTATATTCATTTCTATCAATCTGATTTTCATTTGCACAAACATTTAATGCTTGTCAGTTATTTTGAATCTCTGTAAAATCTGTTTAAAATGGATATTTTAGATGTTTCGTTTTTTTTTCTTAGTAATGCCACTTCTAGTCCACCATATACAAAACAGGGAACTGTATTTTCAGAAGTCTGAGATAGCAATTATTATGAATTAGAATTTTAGATATCCTATCTCATAATAATTAAACGCGACAGTTCTGTCAAAACGGTTAGTGAAATACAAGACTAGGAAATATTCTAATTCAATTTGAGAGAAACTCGGAGAACAAGAGCCAGGGAAAAAAAGATTTAGGATCTCTCCAGAGATCGTATAAAAAATGAATAATATTGATCGAACGTTGTTTCGCGTGTTATTTTACATTAATATAGAAATAATAATATACACAATCATCATGTTAAAGTGATGAAGGGGTCTAATAAAGAGATAGGGAAGTCGAGTAAATATAAAGTCGAACAAAGAAAAGGTCGAGCAACGAAAACAGTCGAACAAAGATAAAGATCGAGAAAATAAAAAAAAAGCCGAACAGAGATAAAGTAATAAAGTAACGCAAAGAAAAAGGTAGAGCATAGATAAAGTCAAGATAAAATTGAGCAAAAGTAAAACATCGAGCAAAGAAAAGGTTGCAAAAAAGATAAAGTCGTGCAATCGATAACCCTGCACTGTACACCGCACCGGAAGTCCACAACTTTTTACGGAATATGTGTCTCGTATATTCGCACCTGTACCATGTATCAGTTAGCATGGCTGTACACGCCTCACATATCCATGTGTAATCTGAATTTCCATTTTTATGTTCCACACCTTCAGTTCTTTGGTTTTGTTTTTTAAGAAATCCAGACCATTCTCTTTTAATTTCGAAGCAAAGTTATTATTAAAACACTTCCATATGAAGGTGGTTGTCGATGCCCATTCACGAGATCAATGTTCATAATTACAAACCAAAGCGTTATAATAATATGTCGACGCGAAAATCACGTGACGATCGCAACCCTTGCAATATTTTAAGCACTTTAGTTTTAGACATGTTGAAGAGACGATGGTTGTGTGGGTACAAAAACCATTACTAAAGTTTATCTAGTCCTATCATCATCTTCACAATGTCAAAATACTGCAAACTACGTCTTATACCTTGACTACAATGGCCTTGTATCACGGAAAGCAACGATTTAATTGGATGGTACGCCAGAGTATACAGCGAATCAGAGATCTCGCCTAAAAGACTGTAAATATTATGACCTTCTGTTTACAGACTTTCTATCGAGGACTCTGATTGTCTGTATTTTCTAGCGTACAATCCAATCAAATCGCTTCATTTACAAACTCCAAGGCTGATACAAAGCGATACAAGGCTTTTGTGGTCAAGGTAAAAGACGTTGGTATAAGTTCGTATAGCTTGACATTGTGAAGATAGACCTGTCATTAGAATCCATTTCACATTTTTATATGTGTTAAATTCATGTTCCTGAAAACTTCAACTAAACTAAACCATTTTTCTACAGAAATTCTACAAATTCTCTGATTCTTTGGTCGATAAAAAAACATGTGAATAAAAACAGATATCCCATCATTATATTTCAGATCACGTATTTCGCCAACCGACAAGGTGTCTCGTGTTAATCTGATTAGACCATCACCCTAGACAATCTCAACCTTAACAAGATCTTTAAGCACTTTAATGTAGATTTCTCTGAATAAAACATTTTTTCTGACGTATACAGGGCACTGATATAATCGATTAGTCAGAGGTCGGTCTAACGTCTTTCAATTTCGCTGACGAAAGATCTTTGTTTAACGGTTTTGATAATGCGAAAGGTTAAAGTACAACTGTTTCCAATCCTATGCCCTTAGGGTGCGGGCACACAAACAGTCTCAAATCTTGAGTAAGATCTCACGCGTGCCGCGCTTTCACATCAAGATTATTGCGTTGCCGACGGGATTTATAATATCAAATAAACGCTTCACAAGTCTGTAGTCGCCGAAAAAAATCAGACCGTTTGTGCCCACACCATTACTTGTTTCTTTAAGCATTGCGTCAAAAAACACCAAGTAGCTCACCAACGACAAGGCTTTATTTGCACTATAATTTAGTTGCATGAAATATGACCAAATTAATTACCATTGGAATAAATAAGGTATCATTCGTAAGTTTTTCAAATCATAATTTAGCTACATTTTGGCAACATTTCAGTTTAGCATCTGTTTCAGTTACTATTCGGAACAGTGATTATGACAAACGAAGCTAGAAGTTCCAAACATGGTTAACTGTTGTCATAGAGTAGTGTTTTATATGGTGTTTCTCTTGAATAAAATGTATTTAAAAAGTTCCAGTAAAATTGATAGGAACTTTCAAACGGTCCTAATTCCTTTCATCTATGAAAGTTTACTAATATGCTATGCACCAAAACTTCTCTGTTAGATCTCTATATGCGCCATGATATTGTTTCTGTCTGTATACAACAGATCTACGAAAGAGCAAAGTACAGTGAGGAATTCCAAGACCTTTTTTTTTCTGATAAGGTTACTTTATATTATGGAGACGACACCTGGCAATGAATATTAATTAGTCAGAGACGAAAACGACTCAACATATTTCGACCTAATTAAAGTTGATACAGTGTCACTGTGTAGGCCTATTCTGAAACTTTTAATTAGGGTAATTTACTCCTGCTGCGACTCAGTTAATTGGGGAGTATTACATTTTCCAAGGTCTTATAACTAATTAACTTGTCTGTACTAGGCTATCTAGTCAAGAATTTAGATCTTTATTCCATGTTTCTATGGCAAAGCATCAATGTTTTCGGCTTTGACAGAAATATATTCCAGTTGTGATCAAATTAGCACAAAAAGTTGGTTACTTCTCTAATTGCTTAAGTTTTATTCAAAATTTTTGTTTTTGACACGTAATAGAAAATAAAATTATCAATCAAAGGCATAAAGTTTATTTCCAATTGTTTTATTTTTACGACATAATAGTATCAGTTGTCGAGTTTTCTTCTACTAGTCTTTGTATAGGCCTACTGACTATGTCCATTTGCATTTGATGCAATTTGATAACATTGTGAATTATATAACCCTATGACAACAATCATGTTGACATAAACTTAAATACATTGCACTGAGATTCCACGGGTAAAGGGAGGCAACTCCATTTATTATTATAAGCGGAAACACGCTTAACAGATTGTAGAATCTGTCGCGAGAAATCCAGCATGGTGGATGAAAGTTGGCAAGAACCAAAATAAAATACATTTAAGTTGATTTATTTCTATCCAAATCAATATTTTCTTCAGAATGTCGTCGTTTGCCGACCTAGGACTAAATGACTGGCTTGTCAAGCAGTGTAAAGCCATGGGATTGACGAAATCGACTCCGATTCAGCAACAATGTGTCCCACACATTTTGAAAGGTTTGTTTACATTTTCAGGATTTTGATAAACCAGTTTCTTTATCATCAGGCCGTTGAAATAATTTTTCTATTTTGCTTATGTTGTATCCTACATGACACATTAAGCATTAAGTAAACTTTATAATTATGTTTCATTGTTGGAGATGGCGTGTTGACATCCAACTCAATGATTCCCAGCCACAGATAGAATTTATTCAATTTACAGATTACTTTTATGTTTTACTAATTATTGATTGTGCATTGATGTATAGAAAGAAGTTTCTATTCTTTATCCCCTAACCTATTAATGAAATTAATTCATTGTAAAACTAATGTCTGTTTATTTTGTTATACAGGAGAAGATTGTATTGGTTGTGCTAAAACTGGAAGTGGTAAAACAGCAGCCTTTGCCTTACCTGTTTTGCAGAAGTTATCAGAGGATCCTTATGGTATATTTGCATTGGTCTTAACTCCTACAAGGTAATCAAAATTTATCACTGCTTCTTCAGGTATAACTAACAGGATGCCTGACATACTGGTAGTGTTAAAAATGCCTAGCTTTCATGTGGAAATAGAATTTATTATAATTTATTATAATATTTGATTTGATATAAACTTGGTTAATATCATACCATACCTACATCTATGCTTATTATTATAATGAACCTGCGTTATTTTTTGTAGAGAGTTGGCATTCCAAATATCTGAACAGTTTCGAGTTTTAGGTAAACCAATTGGTGTTAGAGTAACTGTAATAACTGGAGGCTTGGGTAAGCATTTAAACATAATTAAAAGTATCCAGCCTTTACAAATCAATTGATAAGATGATTGATATTTCTTGTATTTCTTTGTAAATTACTAACAATAGGTAAACATCTTTTGATTTAAAAATCAGAGAATTCACTTACTAATATTGTATTAATTTGTGCAGTATTAAAGGGACAGGTGCACCATTTTTTTGACCAATCGCACCTTAGTCTCAGAAACGGGAATTTTTTAGCTGAGCCAATAATAGTCTTCACACCTTACTGTCGAAATTTGAGCCTTGAAATCCATGTTTGTCCAGAATTATCTGCATTTGAATGTTAAAATGACGACTTGTCAATTTAAGATAATCTGTAGTATATAAAAAAACACATATTTAAAAACTTGAGTAAAATTCCTAGTTTGAGGTATTCTTAAAAGAATTATTTGATTTTCTTACATTTCTAGTATTCTGAAGACTATTTACATTCTAGACTCAAATCAACCCCCAAAATGGTGAACCTGTCCCTTTTATAGTTCATAACTAATCAAGATTTATCTGGTCATATTCATTCATTTGTCCTCTGTTGTAAATGGATATTAGCATACCATGTTTTCTACAAGTTTGGAAAATCTCCTGCTGTATATATTGATGAAAATAAGTTCACTTCATGATTTTCTCCACTCTTATTTCAGATATGAATCAACAGGGTATAGATCTAACAGTAAAACCACATATAGTTATATCGACCCCTGGTCGTCTAGCATCACATATTGAAAACTGTGATACTTTCTCACTCAAGAAAATTAAATTTCTGGTAATTATATGATTAATTTTCAATTAAATATTGAATTTATTCCTTAACACATTTTAGCATTTAATTTACCTGGACTCTCTGGATCATTTGTTTTTATGAAATCGTGTGTTTTGAGGATGTGAATTTTCCGTTTCTTATTTAGATTTTGTCTGTTTTTTTCTGTAATTTCATATTTCACTTCTGTTTACAATAACCTCTGTTTGTTTTTAGATACTAGATGAAGCTGATAGATTACTAGAAGATGATTTTGGTGAACAACTAGAAACTATATTTAATACATTACCTCAAAAACGTCAGACATTATTATTCAGTGCCACTTCCTCACCTACTTTCAATGAGTTAATGTCTGTTTCCGATAAAAAACCATTCTTCTGGCAGCAAGAAGCCAGGTTGGTCTCTTGAGTTATTATTTTATCCTTTTATATTTAGAACACTTGCAGACTGCATAATTCTAGCCTTGATCAGTTGGAGCAGAGTCGAGACATGAAAAGATCAGTTTGGTTTTGATTATTGTGTACTGAAATACAATAGAAACTTCACTTCCAAAATACTGATTAAACTTAACAGACACCAGTAAGGACACAGTACTGAGGTCATTTAATGGTGCTTTCTTTGTCTTTATCTACATACAAAAACATTTGAAAAAAAAGATACATATGTGATGCATTTTCATGATGTTTCTTTTGCATTTTGGTATATAAAGCAATTATGAATATCTCAATTAAAGAAAGCAAAGTCACATTATGATTATTATTATTATTTAACAGTATAGCTACAGTAGAAGAATTAGACCAGAGATATGTTCTTTGTTCAGCTGATGTGAAGGATGCCTACATGTTTCATGTCTTAGACAAATTCCTGGAGGACAATCCTAGAAGTTCTGTCATGATCTTTACAAATACATGCAAGTAAATATCCCAGAATTATTCTATATTTTCTTTATGATGTTTAAACCTAAAATATTATGAAAAATTAGCACAACTTGTTGCATTCGTCATTTGAGGACAGGCAGCTAGTGCATTCAAATTTGAGGCTATTTCATGGTTTCAAGAGGGTTCTTATACGACCAACTGGTGGACAGAATCATCATGAAGCTTGTAAAATATGGTTTTTTTCTATCCTGATTGGCTCTGTTAAGTGTGGATTTCTTAATAATCAAAAGAATATATATTAATTGTGTTAATTATGTTTATTATTTCTGTAGATATGCTCAAGTATTAGGAATGATATTACAAGAAATGGGTGTAAAATGTGTTATTCTTCATTCTACATTACGTCAACCAGAACGACTGGCTTCTTTAGCTTCATTTAAATCACATAAGGTTAAAATTATGATAGCCACTGATGTTGCTAGTAGGTAAGTAAACAGGTTTTGATAACATTGTTATAATTTATTTTATCAAACTGTGGAAGATTTTCCTTATCTCTGTACATTCTTAGATTGTTTACACACATGCAAATTCAATATTTTCAAATTTTACAGTTTATTTGATAAAGAGAAGTACTGATTATCCAAACCGCAAAACCAAACCAGAATTTAGAAAAAAACAGTTTGGCAATAATTTGTTACGAGTTAATAAACTATTCATATGAGATGGTATATCAATCATAAATAAGAAAATGTACTATATAAGTACAGAAGCATAATCAAATGTATTTGTTTCTTGAAAACTTTGCTCTGAAACTTCTCCCTTAACTTGGCAAAATGTGTAACTCTTTAATCCATTGTACATTTCAGAGGTTTAGATATACCAACAGTTGATTTGATTATAAACCATAATGTACCAAATAGACCTAAAGATTATGTACATAGAGTGGGGCGTACAGCTCGAGCAGGTGGGTTCACATTTTCAGTAATTGATACTTTATATATCTTAACATAAATTAACATACTTGCCTATGTTTGAAATGAAATACCTAGTACTTAAAAGTAAATAAAATGTTTTGTTTGTAGGTAGATGTGGTAAGGCTATTACTATGGTAACACAATTTGATATTAAATTAGTTCATGCTATAGAAGAATTTATAAGTAAGTCTATTTTCAATCTCTTCTTGTCAGAATTTTTAGTTCATATGCCATGCCAAGATGACTTTCTTAGAAACTATGTAAGTATAGGCAAAAATTACCTGCATGTATGAAACCAAGTATATACTATGTCTTTACAAACCTTCTCTAAAGGTTTCTTGAATTAAAAAGCATCACTGTTGGTTTGATTTCAGATTGTAAGCTAAAAGAACACTCTGCTGAAGAAAGTGAAGTGATGGAAATATTAACAGAAGTGGCTGTTTCTAAAAGAGAGGCTGAAATTGTAAGTGTTAGCTCATTTACTGTTAAAACTCGAACATCAACATCAATGTTAATTGTGGCTAATAAAAGGAAATATTGGATCGCAAAGGAGTTCAATTTGAATCACATACCTTTATCATGTAAACTTTATTCTGTATGCAGAAATATGTATTTATGAATCTCGTAATATGGCTAAAAAAATTAAATAATATTAATTAGATAATAAATTTGTTTGTGTTTTAGAGATTAGATGAGAAAGATTTTGGTCAACAGAAAATTTTACACAAGAAAAGAAGAATTGTAATGGAAGGAGAAGTAAGACTATAGAACTAAATTACTGTAATTTTTTTCCCATCCAAGTTTTACACTTATTTTGACTTGCTCTTTAGGTTAAAGAATTTGAATTTAAAGGGACAGATTTGCCATCTGTTTGACCAATCATAGCTTTGTCTCGGAAACGGGAAATTTTTTCAGTCAATCCGTAATAGTGTTCACAGCTCACCGACTCATTTTGAGCCTTCAAATTCATGTGTGACCTGAATTAATTGTTTTTGAAAGTTAAAATTACGACTTGTCTATTCTTGAGACTAGGACATATATAGAAATACAAAGTGCAATTCCTAGTTTAGGATAATTTTTCTAGTATTCCTGAAGACAAAATCTGTGACCCGGTCCTTTTTAATAAAGCTGTGTTACGTCAAAAGTCTACAGTCTAAAATATGTTAAGGAACATGTAGAAAAATCATCCTATTCACTTTTATTGTAGGATCCCGAAGCTGAAGAAAAGAGAAGGGAAGAAGTGAAAAGGAAATTTAAAGACAATAATAAAATATATAAAGAATATTGTGAGAAAAAACGATTAAAACAAAAAATTAAAAATCGCAAAGAAAAACAGAAAAATAAAGCATCTGCTCCAGGAAAATCTAGTGAAGCTTTAAAGGAAACAAAAGACTCACAAAAAGTAACAAAGAAAACAGATAAAACAAACAATTCTGCCAAAAAGGCAAAAGTGAAATAGTTACCATCAAAAGGTTATAGTGGTCAACTATATTCTATATTCCTGTTGTAAATTTCAGATCTATTTTGCTGCTATAAAAGCATTGCCTAAATATGGTTTTGTTTTCAGTTTGATTATACAATTTTGTATGACCATTCGTTCAATAAGAACTTGATTTGGATATTTGTTACGCTATGAACTTTAGCTTACCATGCAAATGTGACTCAAAAAATACAGGGAGGCTGTGCTGAAGCTTTGTTTAAATAATTATTATAACAACTGAAGCAAAATATGACAGATCTTCCTTAGAGGGGATATTGGGCTTAGTGAATGGGGCATAAGGGGGAATGTCCTATGAAGAGAATTAATATTAACATATTAAAATATTTATTCATTGTATAATAAAGATATTGTAACAAATATTTGATTTACCGGTAAAAAGATATATAAAACTTTCAAAAAATCTCTGTTTACTGAACAAACTGTAAGTTCCTTCCTGAGTATGAAGTATTAAGGACCCCTGTGGTATCGTCTAATTTCGGAAGAACCCGTAAATGTACATACACTCTGAATTATTTGTTTTCACAACGAGAGAATATTGGGCTCGAGATGCTGATCATGATGTTGTGTTATTTATGTTTCTTACAATCTGTATTGGGTAAATTGCCTTCAGCCCAAAATTGTATCCATTATCCTATAAATCATTGAGCAATATCTATGTTTCCACTTTTTTGGAGGTAGTATGTTTCATAGCAAAATTCAAATCCATTTCCTCAAATCAAACTGGTCTCATTCCAATACCTTTCCTTAATTGTTCAAAAATAAAGAAGGTCACTATGGTATGTGGTCCAATTCTCATCCAGTTTGGTATAAAACCCTTGTATAATCCTAAAGGTCCTTCAGTTTTTATAGTTTTAAAGAAACAATCAAATGCTGAGGTATAAGTTTTCTGTCCCCCTGGAAAAGACCGATAGGTTTGGTTACAAAAAATGACGGGACAATGTGATTTTGTACTGACTATGTAACGTACAATCACAAAATCACGAGTTTGTAGTTACTCAAAAGGTGCCTCATCGCTAACAAAACACTGTCCATGCTGGTAGTAGAAGTGAAGCAAGAATTTCTTGTTTAGATTTAAAAAGTGGTTTTTGGCAATTCATTCTAATTAATATGCTTCACTTCAATAAATATAAACAACTAACCTGTACTGTGTTGATTCATTATTCTAGTTTTAACAACATCAACTGGTGAAGTAGTTAAAGCTGTAGCTAATCCTGCCACCATAGATGATACAATATGTAGTTTAGGTCCTTCTACCATTAGCCCACTGTTTAATAAGGTGTGTTTAGTGTGGTCATACGCTGGTATCTGAAAAAGGAAAACTTTGGGTCAACTTTCGTCATAGTACCTGAATCAAAGTATGCTGCGAAAGCAATTCAGTCTTTTTGGGGCTCTTAATACATCAATTTTGAAATCTGTGTATAACCCAGAGCATTGCCGAAGATAAAATATAGTTTTATCTGAACTCATTAATTATAGTGCATGTCATAACCAGGTGATTCACAATATTGAGGAATTCGCTTCCGAACCACGTTACAAGATCTTAATTTATCAAATGCCTATGTTATGTATGTCAAAAGTATACCTCGACCATCATGACGAGAATCTGGTAGCTCTGACGTTCTTTGTACAGTTGTCTTATTGATTGCCCTTTGGTAAAAAGTAACATGAGAAAATAACGAATACCTGTGTAGCAGTTAATATAGCTGCTCTTTTAACAGTTGGACCAACCCCAACATACAATCCACGTATACCTTCCTTCTGAAAAATTTCTTTAAAAGCTGCCCTCATGGATGGATATCGTAGTGATTCACCAGGTTTAGGAACTCGTTGCGCCTGAAGACGAACCTTTACTAGATCTGTTGGTGTAGCTATTGAACTGCCGATTGTACCTTGTAAATACATGTAGAGTTTAAACTGTGTATTACAATGTCGAAATTTAATTGTTTTTGTTTTGAAAATGTAAAGTTACTGATGAATTGGTTTTGAACACTAGATATTAAAAGTGGAGAGATTTACAAACTGTACATCTTGATAAACATGTAAATGAGGATGTTTCGTTTCGTGTTTTACTAATCAAAGTGGAAAATCTTACCTGAGATAGCACCAGCACATATTTTCTTCCATAACGGAGTATGAGCTGGATCTGTAGCTCCCAATAATACTTTTATAGGTTCATAGCTACCTAGTCTTATACTGCTATATGAACTCTCTCTTAACATTGATGGTGCCCACCTGTAAATAAAATCAAACTATGAAGATGTAAAGTGGTTCTTTGTCCGGTAAGTATGCGCATGGACTCGCACATATAGAATAAAGGGAGTCCCAGTTTTTCTTACAATGTGGTAATCCGCTATACATATGAACTTTCTCGTACTGTAAGCTACACCGCGACAACATGTTATTCGCAGACTGAATGAATAACATATCTTGGTAAAACTTAACGAGGATGCAAGGTAGTCTTGGCAAGGAAATGAGATCTGGTGTAACAATACGCATTATGGTTATTGCAGGTGCGTCTAATCACAGTAAGAAAAGTATTGTTAGAGGACATTTTATTCAAAAGTTTAAAACATTCTGAATTAATTCAAGGGCGTTAACTATTTGGCATAGGTGGGATGAATTTGGTACTGATTCGGCAATTATTGTCACAGACTCGAAACACCCCAGCCTATTCTCCCGTTTTATGTTCTTACCCTTTATATAAACCACGTATCCCCTCATCTCTAAAGATAACAACAGCACCATGAGCAAATCCTTTATAATATCTATTCTTCAACGTTTCCACAACCTTTCCTTTCTGGTTAGACAATTCATTTTCTAGCTGCATTCGAATCTTGATCACATCTATAGGATTGGTGACTGAAATTGAAATGACAGAGTTTTACGTCCTATTTTCTGCAACTAAATGGACTAAAGAAGTCTTGTAAAGCCATAAAAGAGTGTATTCAGACTAGAAAATCGTTTCATCTCTTTTAATGCTTGAGTATAACGTCTGACTGTTAGTAGAGTATAGTGTACAATTCAAGGTGGTAGCTTAATGATGCAAATGCCTCACCTTTGAAACGATGACCAAACTTTAGATGTGTCTTTTAAACAAATATGTATTTAAAAACCAATTTACACCCCCCTCGTTCCTTTAAACTTAGATTGTACTACAGACTTGCAGTTATCAATTCACATATTAAATAAGACGTGTTAGTGGCCGCAAAACAATGGTTATGTTCATAGTATAGTTTTAATTACTAGTATATAATGTATTTAATTCATAAATTATTGTGATCTGTATCCTTTTAACCTTAGGTGGACTATTACCTCCCTTTTGACCTTTTTCCACCGTGTTAGAAGCCAACGACCTACAATCTTTATATATTGAACTACATGATTGTACTAAATATTAAACTGTCTTACCTGATGCACCGCACATATTGGAGGCTCCGGCCAGAAGAAATCGCCATAGCTGTTCATTCTCAATTCTCGTGGTTTTCTGTGCCATTATGTATTTCCTCTCAATAACGGTTATTTTCTAACAGTCGGGTTTCATTATTGATCTACATACAACTCAGTGTTTGTCACGCTTTCTGAACACAAGTTCAGTTGGTGCGCATGATTGCCTCTCGTTAGAGCAGACGATTTTTTCACGATGAAACCACGAATAAATAGTAGGCTATGTATCCTGTACACGTGAAAGTCGGAGCGACCGTCTAAAATCACTGACTAATTAGAGGTGAAAACAAAAGTACATGAATATTCATTAAATAGACAAATCACTTAATGAACATTCGATAATTGATGAGTCCTTCTTTTTTACTTTATGTTTTATCATGGTCATCTATAACAGTTTCGTATTGTAGCCTTGGGCGATGTCAACATGCCCTGGTGCAATCATCCTGGATTAGAAAGGGCTACTTCGACCTTGAGTTATTGTTCAGACCTTCAGGTTTAAACCTCCGGCAACCTATTTGGGAATATTTTGACCGCTCCGCGAGTTCAGACGAGGATTGTTCGACGAATGTTGATGGTGAATGACTTCATCCGCCTTGATAAACACACCATAACAGTCTTCTTACTCATTTTAAACGCATAATAATTACATCGTACTGTATAGAATTATTGTAGTAGATAGTATAAATATCAGATTACAGTAAATATAGGCCAAGTATGAGTGTAGACATCGCTAAACATCCGCCTGTAACACCCGTACAAACAGCAGCGGATAGTCGTGCCGGATCGGACAGCATTCATACAGGATCAGATAGTAAACGTACAGGATCGGACAGTATTCATACAGGATGGGAAACCAAGGTGCCGGAAACGCAGGGATTACAGTACGAACAGGCATGGCGATTTGTGCTAGCTGGAATTTCCAACACTTGTGGAGCATTCGGTGAGTATGTTACGACATGAAACTCAATAAATATAGTAGATATTTATATATTCCAGGGGGCTATATTTTTTTCATTGGCCTTCATATTGCATCATGAAGAGTTATTATCATACCTATAATAATAATTTTCAAGCACACCTAATATTTTTATAACAAACTTTAACAAACTCTACGTTATTATTTTGTATTATTTACCATTTCTTATATCGTTTTTTAAATGCCAAATATTTACTGAACTTTATACAGTCAACATTTGTACCGGTGGTTGACGAACTCATCCATCTGAATGAAGTTTTGGACATGGATATCATCAGTAGTTCCTTTAAATATAGGAATAAAACATCAGGTTATCAACAATGGAAATGTACTTAAGATTCTCTTATCACGATTTTCTATCACCTTATAACCCGTGTCCAGTTTATATTTACTTATTTATTTTTAAATAACTGGGTCAAGGGTATCTACTTTCATTAAAAGCTATCAAAAGTGAATTCTATTCTATAAGGTTATTCAGTAGCCAGTAAACCATGCCTGTACATATTTATTTAGATAAAGGGCCAGACAAGGGAACACAGCAGTATGGAATGTTCTTACTTGAGATATAGGTCACGAATGAACATACACAACAACATTATGTTTATGTCTTTGTATGTCGCAAACAATTTCGGCGTATTTATTTAGCCAAGCACAATCATTTATAGAGCATAAATAATAAATTCGATATTACATCAATAACAAACTGTTTATCAGTGGAATAAAAGGCCTGTTGCAGCTATATATTATGTTCTTTCATTTTGAACTAATAAAATTTGAATAGTGCATGTAAATTGACGTCGAAAGGCAATAATGTGCGATGGAGCAAAACGATCCTTTTCGAGTGTTTGATGCACTTCTTACAAAACCTAACATATGAAAGTTGTTACTTTGCATCAACATTAAATTATCCACTTTGAGATAAAAAACAGATTAACTTAGCTCATGCGCTTTGACATTGGTTGGTCACCTAAATCACCGTATTCCTCGGCGACTGGAATTATAAGGAGGTAAAGAGATGACAACATCAGGGTGAGGTGAGGCTCATTAAACTGTGTCTGATACCTTGACTGCAATGGCCACTAATCTTGTATCATGGAAGTTTCTAAATGGATAGATATGATTGGATTGTACGAAAGCGAATACGGCCAATCAGAGGCCCCGGCAAAAAGCCATAATGTTTACAGGATTTCTGTCGACGGCTCGGAATGGCTGTATTTAATGACGTACAACAATCCAGTTAAATCGCTGCATTCCCTAATACAAGAATAGTGGCTATTGCAGTCAAGGTATAAGTTCGAAGTTCGTAATAGCTGACACTGTGAAGATGAAGTAACTGAAGTAGCTGACACAATTACGAAATGGACAACCTTTTTGTTTTCAATTTTAGCCACGTGATTGTTGTCGCTTTGACAGAGTGCATACATAATATACTACAATTTATTACAAAATATTTACCGTTTATTTTCCGTAATATTGTTAAAATAACCTAATCAAATTTGTTGTGGTCTTATTTATGATAGTGATCGATTTCCATCCCTTCTTTCGTTGTGTTTATAATAGCGAGGTTAACATTGAGTCTCATTCTTCAATTAATCAGAGGTTGTTTTTGTGGATTAAACAGCCAATTTAGAAGATAGATTCGAGCACTTCTGAAGACATTTACATATATTCAAGACCCAAATCTACTGAAAATGGTCATTCGTCCCTAAAACTACACACATTTAAACGAGTTAAGGTGACTGGTAAAAAATGATATGAAAGACTTTATTGAGTGGGAGTGTGTTCTAATTGGAATACTTCATCAAGATAATAGCCTAAAAGTCGAGTTGAAACTGAATATCAGAAGAAATAACAAAATGTTTGAAGTAAGTGGAGTTAAAGAAAGGATTACGAGATTAAAGGAAATTGAAACGTCTATGTACAAAATGTGACACGAATTTTAAAAAATCATGATATTTTGTAGATAGCACACTCACCACGCCCCACCCATAGGATTACAACCCAACATGACCAAAAGTGTACCTAGAATTGGTAGAATTGGATCGTCAATTCGGATTAATATATAGATTAAATATTCTTTTCTCACATAATTTTAAATAAGTTTTACGATGACTGATACCAGGATGAGATGACAGTAAATTTAGAGACAAGACTGACTTTCAACAGTCTGTCTAGCTTGGTCTAGGGTTAAATTGTCAAGTCTGGTCAATTTCAACGTCTACAGCCAATGACACGATTAGTCTCTTCACAAATATTGAGAACATTCAGACTGATTATTTAACAATTTAGCTGACAAATAACAGTTTCTATAATACCCCAATGACTCGGATAATTCAATTTCTAGATTGTCGTTTTGTGAGATATTGGTCTTTTCTTAAACAAAGACAATAATCCATCTAAGTTGACGTGTTGTTTTGTTAAGCTGCCAATCGAAACTAACAACCTAACAAGGCTTATTCAAAATCCTCAATTTCAAAGAGAAGAAAGTTGTTTAGTATCTTGTTAAGTTTTTTCGTGTCACGATCTGAAACTGATCATAATTATCATAAGGGGTCCATTCATCTGTAAGAATCTTAGAGAAGCTCGTTGACTTTAATGATTAACACAATTTTGGAATTAGTACAAAGGAACTGGTCATACCTTATTCTGTCTGAAGTAAGTTCCACTGCCCTGACATTTGCTTTCATTTCACGTTGATATTACTCGCCTCCTCTTGCTTCTGAAAAGTTAAGACACAATAATCATTTTATTCATTTCCTTGGTAAACAGCAACAACCATTAGACAATTTTCCACAATATTTTGTATATTAATTATACTTGTAGTTCTTTTTTTTTTACAGAACCTAAACAAGGTTTCGAAAACCATCTGAGACTGTGCTGATCCATCATCTCATATCAACAAATGAACACGAAAGACCCATACGACAATTTTGTAGGGGAATGAATCACTATCTGTGTCTATACAGGTATTATAATCATGATCATAACCACCACCCTAGACTGCTACGGATGGGTATATGCTTTATTTGACTTTCAGTGACCAATCCAGTCGATGTTATCAAAATCAGAATGCAGTTAGATAATGAACTAGCTAGTCATGGTAAACTTGATGCTCTCAAGAACAGATATTATCACGGATTTGCTCATGGTGCTGTGGTGGTTTATAGAGAAGAGGGCTTCAGAGGATTGTGCAAAGGGTATGCTAAGATATATAATTCATTTATCTTAGATCTCACATATACTTATTCATTGAAACTCTGTCAGCTGAAAATACGAAACAAGGAAATAAAGACATATCAATCGATATGTTTCCCCGAGGTTCTCACAGGTAAAAAATTGAGAGCAACGTCTTTGCAGAGTGATATATGACTCAATAAAAACGGACTAGAGCAAAAATGCTGTTCAAATCCTTAGCAAATCCAATTTTCTGCTTACTTGCGTCCTCAAACTCAAACTCAACACCTCCGCTAGCGCAATTCATAGCTCATTAAGCGAATTTTTGCGTCTGTGGACGGCTATAGAAGGTACCAAAATCGAGGAATTCGGAAAGCTCGGGACTCATGTATCTGTTTAATTATTTTAAGTAACATTCACTATGTTTCAGCCTAGCTCCGTCAATGTTACGAGATGGGCTGTACAGTGGATTTAGAATGGGAGCGTATGAACCTATAAAAGTATTATTTGGTGCTACAGATCCGGCGCATACTCCGTTATGGAAGAAAATCTGTGCTGGTGCTATTGCAGGTATTGTTAGTCCTTTTCTAAATTAAACCAAATTATATGGTGTTGTACGTTTTATCTTTCTACACCATTTTGTATTGTGCATATGTCGAGAGTGCATCATTTTAGAAAGCTTATAGGTCCAATGGATAGAGCCTATCTTATGGTTAATGATATATTTTCTTGATAAAACGTTTTCAGTCCATTCGCTCCTAAATGTCTGAGATGAAAACTTTTTTGGTGAATTGCAATGGTATACTTTAGCGTATTCATTCAGATTAGTCAAGGAGTATTTCGAATATGTTAACCGTCTGCTTAGATTTCTTTTTTTTCTATGTTATTCAGGTGCTATTGGAAGTTCAATATGTACACCAACAGATCTAGTTAAGGTTCGACTTCAGGCGCAACGAGTTCCTAAACCTGGTGAATCACTACGATATCCATCAATGAGGGCAGCTTTTAAAGAAATATTTCAGAAGGAAGGTATACGTGGATTGTATGTTGGAATCGGACCAACTGTAAAGCGAGCAGCCATTCTCACAGCCACACAGGTAACTATGAGTGACTATTAAACAGACGGCTTTGGAACATGGTTAAATAAAGGTAATACGTATTAGTTCGGTTTTATATACCTTTACGCAGTTTTACACGTCTCGTGACCCGTCTACAAGCATTTTCTTTACTGACAGATCCTATTTTAGACGTCAACACGATTGGAAAACTCACGCAAACACGAAGCAAAAAACGAATTTCAAAGCATTGTTATATTTTTTGACATTGAGATTAACTTGCTAAGAAATCCAGAATCTAAATAAGTAAACAAAGAATTTCACTTTTTAGCGTATGCAATATTAAGATCTCGACAATGAAAAGATGCTAAGGCAGGTGTTCAAAGAGCCACAGTGAACTGTAATGCTTTTACAGCAGACTTTTCTTCGACTGCTTTGAAGAAAGTTAAACCTTTTTTTCTTCAGATACCAGCGTATGACCACACTAAACACACCTTATTAAACAGTGGGCTAATGGTAGAAGGACCTAAACTACATATTGTATCATCTATGGTGGCAGGATTAGCTACAGCTTTAACTACTTCACCAGTTGATGTTGTTAAAACTAGAATAATGAATCAACACAGTACAGGTTAGTTGTTTATATTTATTGAAGTGGAGCATATTAATTAGAATGAAATGCGTAAAACCTAAAACCTTACATTTCATGCCTGCGTATATAATTAATACATACATGATTAGAATTAACGCAAATAAATTATAATTACAAAACGCAAAATATTGTCATAGAATAAAACTTTAACTTTAGATATTTATAAATATCTTACAACAACGTGGAAACATAGAGTTTCATTTTTTACACTCTAAGTGGTGTTTCCTGCATATATTTTCTATGTTGATTTATAATTATATTATTAAAAACTGTTTTGTATATAGTATATATGTTATTTATATCTATGTATATGTCTATATATCAATAAAGCAGAAATGATAAAGCATTAATAAAGTAAAGACAATAGTACTCAACATAGTGAAACATGATATTAATGATAGAACCCATTTTCAGTAAAATGCAACGTCTTGTCCGTCTAACCAATATGATTTAAACAGTCGATACAATGATTTTTGTGGATGAGGTAACTGTCAAAATCCGATATTATTGTCTATTAAATGTAATACAATGAATAGTAATGTAATGATGATTATTTTGGCTATTTGTAGCTCACTTAAACGGTCCGACTAAAAAGCGAAAACAGGTGTAAACAAGCGTAAACAAAGCGCAAGTAAGTGCAAACAAGAGCAAACAAGTGTAAACAAGCGCAAACAAAGCGCGAATAAGTGTAAAAAAAAGCCCAATTAACGATAAAAAGCACAGAAACCCGATAATAAAAGACGCGGGAGCGAATTTATATGTCCTCTATTGTGTTTCAAAGAAATCAGTCTACAGAAAAAACAAAGAACACCACTTAAATCATTGTGTGCATCCGATGTACAATTGAAGTATCAATACATTAGTCAAAATTATGGATGCTTTATGTACTGTTTTTCTTAGCTACCATTACCTTTGGCCATGATTCCAGTTAATTAGGATCCGATCTTTGAGTCACATTAATTGATTATGGAATAATCGATTTGTGATATTTGCAGAAAAGATTGCATTGTTTGCTCTCAAAACTCGGGATTAGTGTTTAAAAATAAAATTCCAATAGGCCTACTTTAGTATATTTTTGTTAAAAGAAATCGATACAAAAAAGAATATAAAAATGTATTTCCATGAAACAGAAGCTTTGGACTGAATAAATCTCTAAATTCCATTTCAATGGATTCGTTAAATCAATATTTTAAACCCGTTTTTCATCTTAAAATGTAATTTTTATTCATTATTTTATGGTTGGTGTCTTACATTTGGATTAAAGAGACATGACCAGTGAAATCTTGTCAAAACGTCATTTTTAATCATAATTTAGTCTTAGAAACGGGAATTTTTAAGCTAAGCGTTCGCAGCAATCTGTCATTTTAATATACTCTGTGATATATAGGGAAGATATATAGAAATATAACGTTAAATTCCTAGTTTGAGGTATTTGAAGGAATTCTGCCCCTGAAAATGGCGCCTATGGGCCTTTAAAAAGTACTTATAAATTGGTCCACCCACCAAATTGCTTGATGCATAGCTGGCATTCATATCTCTATTTGATAAGAATTTTTCCAAGTTCTTGTCTACCGGTTGTTTTTATTTTTTTATCTAAATTTTGTGGATGACCTTACCCTGGTCGGGTAACCCAGTTACCTATTTCGAAACACTCGGTATATCAGTACTTTGTTACGAAGATGATGTGCCTTTTAATTGAAGAGTGCGTAAGATAAACGGGTTGTCCGTAAAGTTTCTACCAAGATACCATTTATGTATCGGAGATTGCAAAAACAGGTTAATTGATGATACTATACCCCTGTGTTCTTCATTGTACACTGCATGGTTATGCCTGTATTAATTCATCGACCCAATCTGCATAAAATATATGAATAAATTCATTCGTGTCCCTTTAACTTAAGATTAATTTCTGAAATAAAAAACGAATAAATGTGTTTCTTTGAAAAGGTTGTGTTTAATCAATCACATAATGGGTTCTTTAATCAAGACTGAGTTCAATTTTGAGTAACCTATTTCTCCCTGAATTGTGGAGAAATTGTGACAAAAGTTTATTTGTGATTTAGTTTCAATTCCAGAGTTCGAAAGTTTTTGTAGCAAATTTTCATAATATTGTAAAATGATAAGTCACTAATTAACAATGTTTTGTTCGCACAAATGTGTAATGAAAAGTTGTTTAACTTTTAAACACAGATAATTCTGGAGACACGTGGGTTTGAAGGATCTAACATGGACAGTGAGCTATGAACACTATTACTGATAAGCTTAGCTAAAAAGATCCCGTTTCTGAGACAAAGCTTCGTTTCTGAGAAAGCCGAATCCCTTTAAGGATACAATCATAACTATGTCACAAAAAAGTCAGAAGGTCACACAAAAAAAACAGTGATTTATTTTCTATTTCCTGAAAATTTTCCTCTCAATTAAACGTTTAAAGTTATAACTTATTCACATTGTCAGACTCAATTATTTTTTCTGGAGACAAATCCTTCACGGTAAAACATTCTCAATCAATCATCAAACAGTGTCCAAGAATATTAAATTTAAACGTTACGGAGAGAGTTGAACGTTCGCAAAAAAGAACAATGTTGCTTTATCAAATCAGAAGAAACCTGGTCGAATGATCCTTTTCCTTTTTTTCACAGGAAAGTGTTTATTGAATAATTTCTAAATCATTAATGTACTGACCAAACTCTTGTTGAAAACTAGTGACATCTCGCAAAATACCAGATAATGTAATTACACTCTAAAACCTTAAACAGGAATGCAAATTAACAAAGTGGTGTTTACTTTGATCAAATGCGCAATATGAGAAGGTCGAGAGATTGCTTTGATAACAATGTGAAGAAAGTATGAAAAATTGTTGCGTTTCACATTTCTGGTCATTGAATTTTGTAAAGCCTCCATCAAACCATCAGTTACGAATATCGGTCATAATTCAGTATTTGCAATCATATGTGTGGGATTTACTATAAACCTTAAAGATAGGTTTCCTTGTTTTTTAGTGTCAAATAAAGCAAACCATTTGATCCATTGGTGTTTTTAATGAATTATCATGTATTCTTAATTATATCATTATGTTCTTATTCATATAATTTAGAGTTTTAACCAATCACAAATGTCCATGTAAAAACATTCTGCATAAAAAAGACTTTTTGATCTTTCTTGATCGGTCACTCATTGAAATTCTTTTGGTAATTCTTTTCTGATTTAGCTAATTATGACTTAATTATAGACATGATAGACAAACGGGTATTTTCCAAGTCATTAGAAAACCTCCACTTTCTTTTCATATAAGTATTAGCATTTTCATTTTCATAAATGGAAATAAGGGAACCCATCTTTAATAAGAAAAATATTATTACAATAACAAGGATTGCAAACATTTTTTTGTCATTTTGGGATTTAGGAAGTAACCCCTATAGGCGACGCCCGAGGTGAAATTAAAAAAAACATACGTGTCATACAGTAGCTTTAAGAGAAGCAAATTAAATTGGATTGTAGGATTACATTTCGTTATCGAACTTTCCATTTGATTAGATAAAACAGGCAATTGTAACTATTCTTAAATTACCTGTCATTAAATGACGCTAGTTGAATTTATTTGAACGAGAACAAGATTAATACAAGTACAATCGTATTAGAATATCAAGTAGTAAAATAGTGCAAGCCATTAACCAGAAACGCTTTACTATTTTCAATCTTTTAAGTATGAGTCAGATAGCATTCAAGATTTTCTAAAAATTTAAAAGAGATTCCAAAGCCCTTGAACATTTTAAACAGTGCTCAATACATCAATAAAGGGATATAAAAAATATTAAAACAGAACTTGAAACTGATCCACTGTTTTCAAGTTCTCGTTCATCTAATGACTTTGCTGTAATTGCTGAAGAAATATGACAGGTCATCATAGCAAATAAGTCCGACATCGGAAGTTAGACCTTAATCATGTAAAAAGAATGCTTCCTGGATCTGTATGTTAATGCGGTTTAGATAACATATCAATCCAATAGAGAATATATGCTGTCTACCAGTACAGTGTGTCAGGAAAAAAAAAAAAGACACTTACATCATATATTATTCCAGTCGACCAGTTGTAAATGGGTACAGATAATCCAAAAAATATCAATGACAGCCTAACTTAATCCTTGTAAAAAGTTGTTCTGCAACACGTCAGATTCCCCAGAAGTCTAACATTATTATTTTTGTAATTTCAGGTCAAGTGAAATCCTATCATTCAGCCGTGGATTGTTTGATAAAAACTTTTAAAAGTGAAGGAGTTCACGGACTATATAAAGGTTTTATACCCAACTGGTTGAGACTCGGACCACATACCATAGTGACTTTCTTTATATTTGAACAATTACGACATCGGGTTGGAATAAGACCAATCTAATACCATTGTGTATATAAGATACAAACCTTCTGTAAATATTGTGCAATGGAGTCATACAAGTTTACCATCCTTTCACTAAGAAATTACCAATAACAAAAAACAATATTTTTTAGTAAAACAAACTTCTTTAATAAAATTAAGCACATAACATTTCAAAACAATTTACACGTTCGTATCATTATTAGATGACATGAATAGGAGAGGTTAACATGACAATAAATAGCAACAAGAAAATTGTTTTAGAAAAAGGGCTAAGGCATGGATGGCAAAAATTCTAAAAAGTTAAAATCTAGACTTGAAAACATACACCAATTTATTTGGTTAAAAGAGCTTTATAATCTAATAGGACGTAAAACTCCATTCATTTCATTTCATTTATATGCCATTTTTCTTATGAATAAAAATTGCCTCTGGTATTTACTTGTTGAAAGTTGTTCACGAACTAGAGTATTACGGACTGTTGTAGTTAGTGTTCTTATGAATAACTAGAAGGATCAAAGGGGATTAGTGACCCTATGATCCCAACTCTAGACATAAGATTGTTACCTGCTATAGTTAGTAAATAACCAATCAGATGAATGGAACACTAACATTATTTTACTTAATATGACCTATTAACTACCTATTACAAAGTGAACTAGGGTCCCACCCTTTATGTATAAATATATATCTTATATAGGTGATATTAACAATGAGTGGTTGAACCGCATTCCCCGAGGATATGATTAAAAATTATCGCCCACTCGTCACATCTACGAAGAAAATAACATATCAATGTATGTAGTATTTGCCCTTCTATCAGTGAATTTCCGAGGATATAGCTCTAGATATACGATTGTATATACATCAATGATTTTCAATTATTTAATGGTACGTAGTAATTTACATTTTTATGGTTTTTTGTCGCGTATCTGGAACTAGGCTGAAGCATCTGTCTCTATTCAAACATCTGATAGCTATTTGGTCAGTTGTCGGCATAATAACTATAAGAATATCTATCAGAGGTTGGAATAGAGGCAGATATTTCAGACTAATCTGGGACATGAACACCTGCAGTTTGCATGGAATGTTATTTACAATATAATATTTGATGAAATGAACGGATAACTATCCACTATATCCGGGAAATTGGGTCTGAAATTGTTAACGTCTTTACTATAAGTATTAATATAACTTTACATTGGTTGTCCGTTCAAATAAAGACTAATGCCTCTAATCCATTTCTGTGCAGAAAAGTAGGACGTAAAACTCAATTCATTTCATTTCATTTCTATTCCATTTTTCTTATGAATAAAAATTGCCTCCGGTATTTACTTGTTGAAAGTTTTTCACGAACTAGAGTATTACGGACTGTTGTAGTTAGTGTTCTTATGAATAACTAGAAGGGTCAAAGGGGATTAGTGACCCTATGGTCCCAACTCTAGACATAAGATTGTTACCTGCTGTAGTTAGTATATTATATAAAGGGTGAGCTTTGAAAACAAAGGTATGTGATAGGGATCGTCCGATTTGAGTGTACTATACTATAAAGTATAGCATTTACAGATAAAATATATTTACAACAACATATTTACAGGGTTGATCTTGGTTATGTACAATTTATTTTACACCCAGTACGGCTGAAAAGGAAGTTGATTATTAATTAAGTATGAGGTTGGTTTTATTGTTTTTATGGTGCAAGAGTATATAGATTGCTAGTGAAAGTTAGTTTAGTTTGAGACACAATATTCTAATTCGAATGAGGGAAGTTTGGGCCACAGGGACAAAAAAAAAAAAAAATAAAGTTAGATAAATATTTTGCATCGAACAAGCGTTGTTTTCAGTTTGAGTGCTACAGAACTTAAGTTCATACACTGGAAGAATCAGTAACCTCACCACATAGAATTATTAAAACAGAATCTCAAGTTTGTTGTTACTCAAGTGTTTAAACACTGTTCAATCTTAAGATAACTATCGTCTGTGCTGAAGTTTTACAATTGACTACGTTATCATGTCTTCATTTCGCTACAATGGAAAGGGAAATGTCTCTAGGGTTTAATGGTGACTGAAAGCTTTTCTGTTAAAGAATGGTTACATCGTTTGTTTTTATTTGTGTAATCTCTAGCTCTATTATTAATGGGCAAAGAATTTTTATATTCGCTATCAGTTAGTTTTATTTGTTAAAATGGTTTAGTATTGAAAATGTCTGACTATGCTGAAGAGATTTATATAATCTAATAGTTCAATGATAGAAGAGCTAAAGCCTATGTAACTTGTGTTTAACTGAAAACTTTCCATTAATGCCCCTAAACACACAGACTGTATGACAAACGTGACGACTTCGATTTTCCCATAGTAAATTTTCCATTCATGACCAGTAACATACCACAATCACCAGCTTATGTTGTTTAGATTTCACAGCTCATTCGATATGCAAGGGCTTGTTCTCTTTGTGATTTCCTAACAAGAAGTCGAGTATTAAATTTGAAATTGCTGAAACAAGGTAACTTGACACACAGACTTCATATGTCATGTAGGACAGTTTATGGTCGTTATGCAGAACTATTTTAACAATACAATAATCTGTTTCTGACATTTTGGCTGATTTGTTTAGTCAGAACTCAATTGATCCGGTTGTATTGAAAGAAAAAGTTTTTATAAACAACTAAAGGGAAATGATAATGCAAAGTTTGTTATAACTACAGAGACTTCAAATTAACAAACCAACATCAATCCTTGTGAAGCAGATTGTAAGTTGAAATTTAAAGATAGCATAATTTAATATGCTGATTACGTGTTTCTTTTTATTGATTCAAATTTTATCTTAGTAACAACTAAACATTTATGGTTGCTAATGTCTAGTGATATATTACGAGCAATAGCAACCGTGAGCATTTATGGTTGCTAATGTCTAGTGATATATTACGAGCATTAGCAACCGTGAGCATTTATGGTTGCTAATGTCTAGTGATATATTACGAGCATTAGCAACCGTGAGCATTTATGGTTGCTAATGTCTAGTGATATATTACGAGCATTAGCAACCGTGAACATTTATGGTTGCTAATGTCTAGTGATATATTACGAGCATTAGCAACCGTGAGCATTTATGGTTGCTAATGTCTAGTGATATATTACGAGCATTAGCAACCGTGAGCATTTATGGTTGCTAATGTCTAGTGATATATACGAGCATTAGCAACCGTGAGCATTTATATCAGAGCGTTTATTTGGTGCCATGAATTACCTACGCTTGTAGGTTATTCGAAAAATTCTCAAATTACTTTATGGTCGTTATGCAGAACTATTAAAAAATACAATAACCTGTTTCTGACATTTTGGCTGATTTGTTTAGTCAGACTTCAATTGATCCGGTTGTATTTCATGATTTATACCATTGTGGTAGTGGTGGGTGTCGCGCGCGAAGCAGAACATGCTTATTCTCTTCGAAACACCCGATGGTGCTTCTCTTTGGGGGCGTCCACTACTACACAACTTTTACTCTCGACTTTGCCATACTTTAGATGAGATTTTGATTAACGGAATTGTCTTGTGTCAAGTCAAGTGTAGACATGAAAATAAGTTCTTCTTGTCCAGGCTGAAAATAGGTCAGTTGTCAGAAGGAAGCATAGCTTGAAACTCAGAGAAACAACATGTTTTAATATTTCTATATAGCTATACAATTGATGTATTATGCACTATTTTAACAGTGAAAATATTTCATTTTAATTGTAATATAATGATAATATAGATTATATATTACTACCCAATGTTATGTAAGATTCATTCAGGAGTGAAGTGAGAAGTTGCCAAAAACAAACTTAAAGATGGGTTCCCTTATTTTAATTTATGAAAATGAAAATGCAAATACTTATATGAATAGAATGTAGAGGTTTTCTAATGACCTGGAAAAATAAGAAGAGAATTACTAGGGGGAATGCCAATGAATAACCGATCAAGAAAGGCCAAACAGTTTTTTTTTTCGTTTATCCAGACTATGCATACAGAGACATTTTGTGATTGGTTAAAACTCTTAATTATATGCAATAAGAAGATACTGATATGGTTAAGAATACATGATAATTCATTAGAAACACAAATTAATGAAATAGTTTGCTTAATTTGACACTTAAACAATAAGGAAACCCATCATTAACAGCTAGTATATCAAATCTATATTAAAGCTACTCTTGTCAAACATGCCCTAGAGCTCTTTCAAAGTCTATTGTTTATCAGTTGTTTAAACCACATTCTGATTATAGAAAACTGTCAAACTGTCAAGGCCGTAGTTGTAAAGTGCATTTTCAGAGGCTTTGCTGATGACAAAACAGGAGAAAGTAGACACATTCATCTTTTCACATCCGTGTTCTGTCTGTTACGGAAGTATAAACGTTCTGGATTGGTACCAACTTGTCTTGGGAACTATCACTAGGATTGAGTTTTGATACTGTTTGATTTCTTAAGCGGCATTGTTCTCCTTTTCGGCTTCTGTCAAACCAATCTTATTAGTTATATTTGCAGAATTATATTTTATTATACCTTAAATAAATCACAGATTGAGATTGTGAACCAAAGGGTTTCAACAAAGTTGAACAAACTAAGGTAAAAATTTTAATTTTCCAAGCTGAATGCAAGGCAAATATTAGCAGACTTGACGAGTCACAAATAATTTTTACTATAGTTATATATATATAGTTTGTTAGTACAAGTCGTTTTGCCTAGGGTTACCTTCTTTGTGACATTGCTTTAGTTATTTATGTGGATACAATATAGAAAATTACAGAATAAACAGTATAACAATAAATTATTATAGATACTCATTTGTGACAGATCAATGTTTTCACTAAAACAGCTAAATAACAGTGTTAACCACTATCTTTTTATTAATCGACAAAATGGCGAGACAGGCGTAAAAAAAAAACGTTAGATAAATGTTAAGATGAAAATTACTAAGATAAATTGTGACTGGGATAACCTTTTATTGAAATGAATTATACTGATGAATTAAGTTAATATCATATGCAAATATCACGTCAGGCTGTCGCCTATATACATAGTAAACATAAATAAGTAAGTGTTATAAATTTTAACATGTTATTATGTTACTACAAATCATGAAGACCTGCGAAGGCATTAGGCAACCATCAATACTTTGGTGAGTGTTCTGAAAATATTGACCCAATATATTGATGGATTCTCCACACACAGTAAATATTATGTTTCAATAAACTGACATTCTATCACAATATTGATGAATCGTCAATAAAAATTAAAACGAGTCTGATTACTATTTTGTAATGTTCTTTTAGTTCGCTCATACAATATTTTTCATGTCTGAGAATATACCCTGAACAACTTAAATTATAATTGTCTAAACATTTAATGCTAGACAACAAAGCGTCCCCCCCCCCCCCCCC